TTCTTTCTTTCTTTCTCTCTCACTTTCTTTCTCTCTCCCTCCATCTTCTCTTCACATTTCCACTGTGTGTTTCATGTTTTCTTTCCCCGCGCAGAGTTTGTCTTCCCCAGTGCCTTTGCTAGCGCAGAAAGAGCGTATATTCACAAGCTGTGCAAGACGTTGGGTCTCCAGTCCAAGAGCTATGGGTAAGCTGTCCTGCTCTTGTATACTACTACAGGTACCGAAGAACTCCAACTCGTGAGCCAAAAGCAGCACAAAGGCTCTTGCAGCCTCTGCGGCCCTCGGATGGGTTTCAAACCGTGTTTGATGTCATTTTGAAATGGAAACGCGGTCCTGCTTTTGACTCGCGGGTCGGATTTCTTTGACCGCGACTATACAAACCAGGGAGCAGTACAATTATACGGTGTCATACCTCTCTCTTATACAAACGCTGTAACGCACGTGCGTTTCTCAGTTTCAGGCTGCGTTTATGTGAGACTTGTCAACCTGGTTCGAGTGTCCTGCCTGTTTCAGTGGAGGCCCAAAGGCCTGGTTGTTGTAGCTGCCCGGTTAGCTCAGTTGGTAGAGCATCAGACTTTTAATCTGAGGGTCAAGGGTTCGAGTCCCTTATTGGGCGACCATATTTTTCTTCTTCTTTTTCCTCGATGTGCACGGTGCACTTTTTCATTTTTCCACACGATCTAGTATTTTCGACTGGTCCATGTTGGGATTGTATCCAAGCGGGGTCCTTTATTTCAATGTTATCTTGTCTCCGAATCCATGTACATGTACGTAGCTTGCCTAATATCGTAAACTGGTATTGGAGTCTGATTGCCCGGTGTACCAATTCAACACAGTCCTATATTTACCCCCCGCAATCCGTCTTCTATTTGAGCAGTGTCTGGTACTAGCTTGAATACGCGTACCATACTCAATCTGCGGACAGCTAGCTGTTTCGAGTCTGTGTTAGGTCACTTTAGCAGAGCTAGGAGTGACTGGCTGAACCGATCGCATCAAAGGCTAGTGAGCAAAAACAGCATTTTAAAATCGGCTCACAGCAAGTCAGAGTCTATAAGTGAGATAAATACAGTGAGCTTTTGATTTTTAGTAACTTTTTACTCTATTATTTGACAGCCACGTGCGTAATGTAAATGTAGGGATCAAGGCGTGTTCATAACTGACGTGTGTAAGCGCAGTACGTTTTCAGTTTATGCGTTCAATTTGACATTTGACTCGTATTTCGGTCGTGCAACACCATGAAGAACTCTCTCCCCCCCCCCCCCCCCCTCCCCCCAGTCAAAGTGACTTGCATGAATGCCAGTTGGTGCGCAACTGACATGCTCTGAAAAAGACGTGGAGCTTCCATTTCAGCCACAAGGAGGACTTGTTTAGCTGTACGCATATCCTATTGGTCGGCAATAATCGTCTATAATCATCGTTTTTACATTATGCTTCAAGTACTCATATGCATGTCGTAATAGGAAACGCTGACAGCTAAATTTCTCCTTGTGGCTGTATTTTTGTTATTCACGATGCCCCAAAAACCAGAAACATTCGCCTCACAGCATGTGCAGGTTTGCCGCAATGGAATGTTGTCCGTACTGGCCACTGCACGCTTTCTCGCAGGACATAAGTGCTACGTACGTGTTGCAATCCCCAAGGTGATCCCCGTACAGTAGGCACGGGGAAATTTTGTGAATAGCACGTAACGAAGGAGTTTGGTGAAATTTTTCAGTGGAAGTCTAGCCTTTGCCTTTGGTGTTGCACCCTCGGTGCTGGTATGCACACTTGTTGCAGTTCACATTGCAAGAATCATAGCTGCCCGGTTAGCTCAGTTGGTAGAGCATCAGACTTTTAATCTGAGGGTCAAGGGTTCGAGTCCCTTATTGGGCGACCATATTTTTTTTCTCTTTTCATCTGGAGCTCACCAACTCGCCAACACTCCTATGAAAATTATCACCAAAGTCGCTACCACTATTTTGTACTGGTTTTTCTGTACAACCTGTTATTCTAGGAGGCAGCTTCGTTTCGCCCCTACTGTAAGTCTGCAAATGTTCGGCCCATTCAAATGTCGGCCTCCCAGGGCTAAAACCCATTTCGGCCGCAGCACATTTTCGGCCTGTACTGCCGCCACTTGTATACTGTGTCACGCGGAACTTTTAGGAAAGTAAGTGGCTGCGTTGGAGTTTGCGGACAATTAGAAAAGTTCAGTGTGAACGTTGCTGAACAAAATTTCTGCCGCAACTAATTTTCGGCCGAAAATGGCCGAAAATAAATAAGCGCCGAATATTTGTCGACTTACAGTAGTCTGTCTACATGTCCTTGGACAGTAGAGTAAAACCTGTGAAGGCGACCGCTCTGATGAGACCACCACCACCTGTCCTAAGAGGAGCACTAAATCCAGGACCGAAGGGTATCGTTTACACAGGTATGACCCTGGATAGGGGACAACCAGTCCTGTACACGGGGACCACATTTGGGGGTCCCGTTATAGGCTATACAAACTACGGCCAACTGTGACCGCGTTTCTACGACTCAGACGTGTTTGATCAGCGATTGTGCATAATCATTTGAAACAGGACTGCATCACCATGGAAATTCAAGTTCAGACTTTTTCTTTTTTTCTTTTACTATTAGGCCATCATTTTTTATATCTATGTTTCGCGTCAGTTCAACTTCCAGAATCATATGCGAGAGGTGGAAAAAAATAAAAAACGACAAAATAATTAAAAAAAGGCTCATGAGAGGTGTATGCACTGTACATAGCACAATAGCTCGTGCATGGTGTACATCCGAAAGAAAAATCGTACATCAAAGCACAAAATCTGCATCACTTTGGACAGAGGAGGCAACTGTTGGTGCCCTTGCTTCGCTGGATTATTGCACTCAGCCTTCAGCAGCGGTGCAAAGAGCTCCGGAACGACGCATCCTCTCAGCTTGAGGTGATCAATGCGGTCTGTTGCAAGCTCGTAGAATACTGCTCGCAGATGCCGAACAAACGATTTACCAACGCTGGCCTCGAGGCCATTTCTGAATCCCAGCTTCGCCGTATGCAACCAGTCCACACTGAGACTCGCACGATCGTACACCAACTGTGCATGGTTGATTTTTTATTTTTTCCCGAAAAAAATCAAAACGTATGCGTGCGGACGACGCGAAACATAGATATAAAAAATGATGGCCTTAAAGGCCACAGCTTCCAATCATGACATGCAAAGCAGCGGTGCAGCATCGCAGGCATGAATCGTGGACGTGGTGACGGGGTCTGATGTGCTCCACCCACCTAGGGTCTCGTGATTTTGGCCGTAGTCTGAATCGCCTATTAGCGGTCGGCTTGGACAAGTTTCACCGTCATATGCTCAGAATTGAGAACAGCATAGTTGTGTGGTTGTTGTAGCTGCCCGGTTAGCTCAGTTGGTAGAGCATCAGACTTTTAATCTGAGGGTCAAGGGTTCGAGTCCCTTATTGGGCGACCATATTTTTTTTCTCCTTTTTCATCAGGGAGTTGTAAAATACCTACTTTACGACCCCCTGTTTTTTAATTGTGAGAAGTATGTATCCCTCCTACATATTTTATGGGCCTGGGAGCTGAGAAGACTTTGGGCAGGTTTGAGTGATAAATCTAGATTTTTGTCTGAAATGGTACAGTACAGTATAAGTACGTGTCCATGTTGTTTTGTTTGCGTACAGCATGGGAGAGGAGCGCTCTCTCAAGGTGTCACGCCGCGTGGAAACAGAAGTCGAGTCCTCCAGGTCGGCGCAGGTGGCGCCGGCAATCGTGAACGTCCTCCAGGCTCCCCTGCGGGATTTCCCCAGCGCTGGTGCGTGTCACTTGCCCTACTGTTTTGATTCTTTTGTTCTTGGACTACAACATAGCCTTTCTCTCAATGCAAGCAAGAGTACATGAAGCCTAGAGTGTGCAGCTTCGGACGTTTTCTGCATGGGTGTCACTGCGAATTTCCGGGATTACATCATGTTTTGGTGAAGATCTGAGGTGGGACATGGCGTAGTGCGTACAACTGAGCTGCAGTAGTGCAGAAAGAGACCTGCTTGAATCCGGGTTGTACGCACTACATCACTAAAATGATGTACAGTCAAATCTGTCGTAACCGACCGCCCCTTGGTGCAAGAAAAAGCGGTCTTACGGCAGATGTATGGTAAATCCGGCATACCGGGCATGCATTATATTCTTCCATGTATTCAAAATGACGAGAATAATGTGATTTTTAACCCTTTAAGAGCCGCCCCATACTTGAATGCAAAACTTCAAAAGATCGTAACTCAGTCCAATCTCGCTCAAATCCAGTGATCGAAATATCCAGGGTGAAGAGAAAACTCTCACCTGTCGGGAGAAACAATCCGCGAAGCGCTGCGAGCAACGGTTCCTGAAATAAATCACTCGCAAGTTGAGCCACGATCGCGGCAATTTCAAAAGCGCGCAGTGCGACTTTAGTATTGAGAATTTTGAGATTTTTCGTCACGCTGGTTTACTCCAATTTGCACGGGTTTCACTGTTGATATTGTCAAGAATACACAGCGAAAAAATGGAACTCCACGATCGAGTAAAATGAAATATCTTGAGCGGGACAAGTGGGGTATTTTTGTACTGTCGATGCGATCTAGCGCTGGATAGACGGTGTGCTGGCTATCATGATCGACCTCATTCTCTTCCTCTCGCGGAGACCTTTCCAGGAAGCCCTAGATTGTGAGGATTGAGTGAGTAGAATTGAAGCTATGATCCAAGGAACACGAAAAAATGCAATATTTTGAAATTTTCCTGTGGCTCTTAAAGGGTTGATATCATTTTATTGGATATTCAATAAAATATAATGGTGCCAGGGCTAGGGCCAGTCGATCGCACTTGCAAGACAGCGCATTTTCACACCTTGCAGTTGACAGTTTCGCACCTGACTGAACGTGGGTCGCGGTCGCTTACAGCGGATTTGAATGCAGCCACCGTGCATGAAATCGCGGTCGCTAGTCGCGCACAGCAGATGGTCGCTCTGGACAGATCAATTTGTATGTGAAACCGTCGGTGCACGGAAAATCGGTCGCTAGCGGTAGATGGTCGCCTACAGCAGAGGTCGCTAACGGCAGATTTGACTGTAGTAACGGAATTTCGCCGTGACAACAACCCATCAGAGCTGCACACTTCAGTGAACATTTCAGACTACAGTAGGCAACAGTTTGCACGACGACATGGATGATGTTGTGCGGGTAGATGTAGATATTTAGCAAGAAGGACCCATTAGTGTGTGTGTGATCCCCGGTAGCCTCATCGGTAGGGCACAGTCCCGGAAAGACAGGGGTGCTGGGTTCGAATCCCGCTTGTAGATCCTTCTTTTGCAACAGATGCGTGGTCGTCGTTGTGTGCGAGTGGCGTAGTGACATGGGGTTGCTGAGGTGCTGTCACTGTCTCTGCATCTACATGGCAGTGTTTTGTTGTTGTAGTCCTCAATGACTCATTAATCCTCGGGTGTTGTTGGCGTCTGGAAGCTCACCATCAGTGCCTATTATTAGACACGCTGGTCCGAGTTGTCGTTGGTGCCTTATTTCCTGTTGGTCTTCAATGGCACAGCAGATTCTGTGCAGGTGTGCATTGTTGAAGCTTGAAAGACAACTTTGTGTGTTTGTGTGTGCGTGTGTGTGTGTGTGCGTGTGTGTATATGTGCGTGCACGTGTGTGTGTGTGTGTGTGTGTGTGTGTGTGTGTGTGTGTGTGCTCGCATGTGTGCGTGTACAGATGAAGCCGTTGCAGCATCGCCCGCACACTCCACTGCTGATATCAAGCCATCTAAAACCGGTAGGTGATGAACTCTGCACCAGCAGCAGTATTCTTCAGAAACCCAGTGCTGCTCAATGATATCGGATCCGATCGCGTGAGTCAAGTTTGCACCCTGCTCACATCCCAGTGTCCGCCGGACTAGGGCTTCATAGCACCCCGTGTGGCGTGTGGCATTGGTTCGCTCGATCAGACTTCATTGAGCAGCACTGTAGCAGTGCGGAGGTTGTGCGAATAGTGTAATAGGGACGAGCTGGCACATTTGCTTATGAGAGCTCAGTGTGTAACGTGAGTCGGCTGATTTGCTCATGAGAGCTCAGTGGATAGCATGAGTCGGCTGATTTGCTCACGAGAGCTAAATGGATAGCGTGATTCGGCGGATTTGCTTATGAGAGCTCAGTGTGTAGCGTGAGTCGGCAGATTTGCTGATGAGACGGAGAGTGTTGAACCAGTATTGCTGTGTCGCGCCTTCGTCACTCCGTACGAAGCATCTCCACCTCGTCTATTCTCCAATCCCCTCCTTACCTGGCATGACATCTGAATGAACGATTGCGCCCCTTCGACATAAACAATGTGTGCATGGGTGTGTGTGTCCATGTGTGTGTGTGTGTGTCCGTGTGTGTGTGCACACACGTATGTTTATGCCTGGTCTTGCTTGCGTGCACCTGTTTGGGTTTGTCTGATTGTTTTCCCCCTAGGCGTTCTTGGCTCTCTGGCGCCGCAAGTACCATCAGTTGCCCGTCGTCCAGCCGAGTTGTCCACCTTCCGCGAGCAGCTGCCTGTCTGGACAAAGCAGGATGAGATTCTGCAGCTGATTGCCAAGCACCAGGTACCGTATTTTGAACTATTTTCGGAAATTAGCACCGGTCTTTTATTATAGGGGATTCACACACACACGGGTAAAACCACGGTTATGGGAAAGTTGTTATGGAAACTATGGTACTGGGGGAAAGGAAGAACCTCTCGGGAAAAAATTGGCAAAGCCGTGGCCGTGGGCCTCAGGGCGTTTGTCAAGGGAAAAATCCCATGGCTATAAGACGCGCATGCGTAGATCTTGTCTTTGGCGAGAACTCTGAACCCTAGTTGTACGAGTGCATCGCAACTTGCATTTTCAGACAGTGCCCATCGGAAAATCGTGCATGGCGAATGCAAGATACAGTACAGAATGTACTACAAACATGCAGTACAGATTATTTTTTTAGTTGCCCCGCCACAAGTTCATGGCCAAACGTGTGGCCAAGGCAAAACTGACCACGGGTGTGAACGGCCCCACTCCGTTGGCCGAAGGTCTGAACTTTTACCTTGTCCCGTGACCTCAGGTTTACCCGTGTGTGTGAACCCCCTATAACTGCCTGTCTAAAATAAGCGGTACATCAATTTTTCACTGGTTTGAGGGAAAGACACAAACGGGAAAAGTCTGAAGAAGAAAATCGACTGTCACCACCAGGACTAGAACCAGGGACCCTCGCTTGTAGCCGGCGATGCTCTAACCACTGAGCTATGGTGTAGTCGTCATCCCAGCAGAGACCGTTCAACATTTTCTACGTACATGTATTGAAAATCGTGCGCAGCCAAAAATATTATGTTTGGCTGTGTGCTTACAGTGTGTGTTAGCGTACACACGAATGCTTATGATTGTGGGTATGCACGTGTGTGCGCATGCATGTGCATGCGTGTGTGCGTGTGTACGTGTGTGTGCATGCATGCACATGTGTGTGTGTGTGTGTGTTCGTGTGTGTGTGTGTGTGTGTGTGTGTGGGTGTGGATGTGCACATGTGTAAGCCGTTGAATGGTGTAATCCCAACACAAGTTGCTATGTCTATCATAGCTGTTCGCTATCATCGCTTCCGCGATGAGCATGTCTGAGTTTGAGTGTGTGTTCTGTACTCCGTGTCCGCTCAGGTCATATTAATTGCTGGAGGGACAGGCTGTGGCAAGACAACGCAGGTTAGCGGAAACGCTTGAGAAAAGAAACAGACTGACAAATGCGAATAGATGTCATCTTCTGTACTGTCATGTTGTAGGAGTGGTTGCTGACTTTTCCGGCAAGAGCAGAGCCAGCGGATTGCTTTCTATTCCCGAAATTGAGTGAAAAATCATTGGGCTCTGTTGCGACAGTGTTTTGTGCCGACAACGCTACTTCAGGCTGCGTGTAGCATTGTGCAAACCCCCTCCACCATGCCGTTTATCTTGACCCGTTTGTACAGGTGCCGCAGTTCCTGTTGGATGCGGCCACGCGACACAATCAGGCCGTGCAGGTTGTGTGCACACAGCCGCGGCGCCTGTCTGCCATTGGTGTTGCCGAGAGAGTGGCTGCAGAGCGCGGTGAGCAGGTGGGAGGCAGCATTGGCTATATGATCCGCCTCGAGAACAGGTAGGATTCTGTGTCTTGCAATGCTATTTGTGTATTAAATATACATTGTACACGATTCATGTCTGTATGGGGCTCTCTTGCAGGTTCAAGCGTGGATGGTTCGTATTGTAGTCTATAGTACTCCGTACTCCGTGTGTATGTGTTTGTGTGTGTGTGTGTGTGTGTGTGTGTGTGTGTGTGTGTGTGTGTGTGTGTGTGTGTGTGTGTGTGTGTGTGTACATGCATGTGTGCATGCATGCGCGTGCGTATGTGCACCCCTGGTCTATCTGTCTACTCGCTGGCATGCACGACAGGATGAGCAAGAGCACTACGCTGACCTTCTGCACAAACGGCATACTGCTGCGCGCACTGATGTCGGACACCGGAGGCATGGACACTCTTACTCACGTCATTGTGGTATGTGTCACAGTATTCTCCCGAGTATAAGTCACACTTTTAACACTCGTAATTCGCCGCAATAGAGTTATCAAGAATGGACTCGGGTGGAGAGCCAAGGACAAATAACTGGTGGTGTTAGTGGACATTATAGCGTAACTTGTAGCTTCTTGGTCCTTGTTTTCTTTGCAATAGAGTTAGTGCAACTTTTACTAAAGTCAGACCTCGCTTATCCGGTCCTCTTTTATTTTGGATCCCTCGCCATCCGGACGAAAATCGTTGGTTACCGATTTACAGCATATGTCATGCATACATACAGTATGCGTGTTCGATTATCCGGTTCCCTCGCCTATCCGGATATTTTTGTGGGAAACGGATGTGTGCGGTTAAGCGAGGTTTGACTGTACAATTGTCAAATGAATGCTGATACACAGGGTAGATGACAATATTTCGTCACAAAAAAATCTGGGTGCGACGTACACTCCGGTGTGGGCTGTATACACTGTCACACTGAATCTTGCAAAAACAAATTTTCGGCTGCAGCAAATTTTCGGCCAAATATGACCAGGCCGAAAATAGCCGAAAATAAATATGCGCCGAATATGTGTTGACTTTACAGAACAGCTGTACTAAGATTTTTCTGGTTACCGTACCGGTAGTAAGCTATAATGACTATGTATGCCCTCTTGTCCAGGATGAAATTCATGAGCGTGACCGCTTCAGTGACTTCCTACTGATATCGTTACGTACTATACTGAAGGAACGGCCTAACTTGCGTCTGATCTTGATGAGCGCCACAATGAATACCGAGTTGTTTGTGCAGTACTTCAACAACTGCCCTATCGTTGGTGGTGAGTCTACGGTCGGTGTTTTGCGTTATGTGTGAAGGGGTGGTGGGTTGAGTAGCTGGGATATTGTATGGGTGGTGTGAATTTGTGTGTGTGTGTGTGGGGGGGGGGGGAGGGAGGGGGGAGTGTATGTATGTATGTATGTATGTACTCAAGTCTGTGGACAGCAACTGTTTCGCTCTGTTAGAGCTCATCAGCACAGCTCAGAGGACCGAAGCGCAGCTCTTCGCAATGAAATACGTTTCCGTAAAGCAAAGCATTTTTATAAAGAGCTGCAAACCCCGCCAAGAGTGCTCGAAATGCTCCAAGAGCAGTGAGCGTTGCACAAGGCGAGCGGCAAGGGTTCGCGCTAAGGTATGTATGTATGTGTGTCTGTCTGTCTGTCTGTCTGTCTGTCTTTATGGGTGTGTGTGTCTGTCTGTCTCTCTGTCTCTCTGTATGGGTGTTGTGAATTGTGTGTGCGTGTGTGTGTGTGGGGGGGGGGGGGTGTATGTGTGTATGTGTGTATGTGTGTGTGTGTGTGTGTGTGTGTACGTGTGTGTGTGTGTGTGTGTGTGTGTGTGTGTGTGTGTGTGTGTGTGTGTGTGTGTGTGTGTGTGTGTGTGTCTGTATGGGTGTGTTTGCGTGGCGGGGACTTAATTAATTATGTTGTATTATGGAAGATACGGTTGATTTTGCTGGTGTGAATACTTGTATGTGGTGACATGATGGTGTATCTGACATGGTGTCACCACTGAAACACTGTTCCTAGTCCAGTACGTGTGTGTACGTGTGTGCTTTCATGTGTGTGTGTGTGTCTGTGTGTGCGTGTGCGTGTGTGCGTGCCTGCCTGCCTTTGTGCGTTCAGTTGAAGGACGAACCTACCCCGTCCAGGCCGTTTTTCTCGCCGACGTTCTCTATCAGTAAGTACTTTCTAACATGTTTGTGTCAACTTGATTGCTTGTGCCTATGTGTAGTAGATGCTAAACAAACTCAAACACCTCAGCATTACCACGCATTGGCCATGCTAAACAAACTCATAAACACCTCAGCATTACCACGCATTGGCCATGCTAAACAAACTCATAAACACCTCAGCATTACCACGCATTGGCCATGCTAAACAAACTCATAAACACCTCAGCATTACCACGCATTGGCCATGCTAAACAAACTCATAAAAACACCTCAGCATTACCACGCATTGGCCATGCTAAACAAACTCATAAACACCTCAGCATTACCACGCATTGGCCATGCTAAACAAACTCATAAACACCTCAGCATTACCACGCATTGGCCATGCTAAACAAACTCATAAACACCTCAGCATTACCACGCATTGGCCATGCTAAACAAACTCATAAACACCTCAGCATTACCACGCATTGGCCAGGCTAAACAAACTCATAAACACCTCAGCATTACCACGCATTGGCCATGCTAAACAAACTCATAAACACCTCAGCATTACCACGCATTGGCCATGCTAAACAAACTCATAAACACCTCAGCATTACCACGCATTGGCCATGCTAAACAAACTCATAAACACCTCAGCATTACCACGCATTGGCCATGCTAAACAAACTCATAAACACCTCAGCATTACCACGCATTGGCCAGGCTAAACAAACTCATAAACACCTCAGCATTACCACGCATTGGCCATGCTAAACAAACTCATAAACACCTCAGCATTACCACGCATTGGCCATGCTAAACAAACTCATAAACACCTCAGCATTACCACGCATTGGCCATGCTAAACAAACTCATAAACACCTCAGCATTACCACGCATTGGCCATGCTAAACAAACTCATAAACACCTCAGCATTACCACGCATTGGCCATGCTAAACAAACTCATAAACACCTCAGCATTACCACGCATTGGCCATGCTAAACAAACTCATAAACACCTCAGCATTACCACGCATTGGCCATGCTAAACAAACTCATAAACACCTCAGCATTACCACGCATTGGCCATGCTAAACAAACTCATAAACACCTCAGCATTACCACGCATTGGCCATGCTAAACAAACTCATAAACACCTCAGCATTACCACGCATTGGCCATGCTAAACAAACTCATAAACACCTCAGCATTACCACGCATTGGCCATGCTAAACAAACTCATAAACACCTCAGCATTACCACGCATTGGCCATGATGCTGTGTTTGTACATGAGAAAAGTAGTTGCTCATATTAAACAGGTGATAGTCGATGTGCCCGACCTCCTCTTCCATCTCTCATCTCTGTCCCTCTCTCCATGTCGCTGTTTGTCCTTCCCTACTGTGCTCAGTACTGGGCATCATAAGCCTGCGATGGCCACCATTCTCTTTAATACATGTGAAAAGTAGTTGCTCGTATTAAACTGGTCACGGTTGTTCTTGTAGCCGATCTCATCTCTCCATGTCGCTGTTTGTCCCCCCCCCCCACCTCAGTACTGGCCACCACAATCCTGGGATGGCCGCCCTTCTCTCGTCGAACCAGTCCGACGGTGGTGCTTTGCAAGAGCACGACGACCGATTGCAGCGCGCCGTGTCTGCGCTGGCTGCCTCCACAGCCGAGATTGGCACCACCGCCAGCAGTCCTCAACCGTTGCAAAGCGAAACGGAGGATGAGCAAAGCGAGCGGCAACTCGCATTGGAGAAGGAGGACGGCGAGGGTGTGGAGATGGCGGCTGCGGCGGCTTCCAAACTTACCGTCGAAGACAGGAACCATGGCGATGAGGAGGAGAATGATGATTACGATGAGGATGACGAAGATGTTATTGTGAGTGCTGAATGCTTTTCGAATGTTGTCTGTCAATTTATCCTGGATGTAATACATCTTACATTATTTGACAAAGTGTCTGAAGTCCTTGCTGCAAATAGTGCTCAATACCCTAACAAGGGCAGAGCGCACCACTACACAAAGCAGAACAACAGAGACGAAAAGCTTTCTCGTTACTCCGAGTTTCGTGTTCAAAAACACTCATCTTACATTATTTGATGCGAATGTGAAATTAAGGTCTTACTCCGGCGGATAAAAGCAATGACTTCTGCACAGGTTTCGGGTGAATCTTACGGGAACACAGTCCGGTAAAAATGGCGATCCAGACCTCACCCCTGTCAACTGCATTGCCTGAGCGCACTGGTGTCCACAGCTCGGACAGGTAGTGTGGGCTCATTCTCTAATAGGAACCCTCCTTGTATGACCGGCATGGAGCCTGCGCTTGTTTGTGTTTGGGGTGTCTACATGACTACACATTGCTTTATGCAATGTGCGGGTCATTGCGTTTGTGTGTGGGGTCTGTACGCTTTGCTTTGCGTGACGTCATTGATGAGTTGTTTTTTTGCGGTCTGTGCACTTTGCATATGCGATGTGCGGATATCATTGAGTTAGTGTTTGAGGTCTGTGCACTTTGCTTTATGCGATGTGCGGATCATGGGCTTTGGATTGGGGTCTGTACACTTTGCTTTCTATGACCCAGTTGAGTTTGTGTTTGGGACTTTGGGGCCTGTACGCTATGCTTTGTGTCGTGTCATTGATGAGTTTGTGTTTGCGGTCTGTACGCTTTGCTTTGTGTGACATCATTGCGTTTGTGTTTGGGATCTGTGCTCATTGCTTTGTGTGACGTGATTGTTCAGTTTGTGTTTGCGGTCTGTGCACTTTGTTTCGTGTGACGTCATTGATGAGTTTGTGCTTGGGATCTGTACACATTGCTTTGTGTGACCTGCAGATCATCGATAGTGACGTGGAGCTAGAAAGTGCTGATGAGGACAATGTCGGCGATGAAAACGACGCCACCGCTGGTCCTGCTGTTGATGATATCGTTACGGCGCAGTCTGAGGTGGCCGACGTGGGTACAGTGGAAGCAGACGCCACCGCTGTCGCGGCTGAGACCACCGTCACCGTTGCCGACGGTTTCCAGGGTGACCTGTCGGCTACGGATGCTCACGTTGACGCGGGCATCGGCGCCGAAGAACTGCAGGAGCGCGAGCGCCTGCTCATGGCGTATCAGGAGTCGTTCAATGACGATCGTGTGGACGTTGGCCTGATCGTCACGCTCTTACAGAAAGTTATCGTGGAAGGGGCAGACGGTAGGTTAAACAAATTGTTGACAGTGGTCTAAATACATTGTACCGTAAAGTACCGTTGGTCCTCCCCCTTTCTAATTGCCCCCCCCCCCCCCCCCCTGTCGATTTTCTGCCTGTGAAGCAACTTCGGCGTATACAGTGAAGTACGGTGTTGAACCGACGCATGCACTGCTGTACACAATACGTGCGAGTGCAGGATGAAACATGTGCACAATCCAGCCTCATCGAGTCCGATCTTCCGCGTTGCTGTACATCATACTGCACTTGACAGTCTTGATCTAATACCTGCCCCCTGCCGAAAATCTAGCTGGGAAGCGACATGGCGTGGGGGGGGGGGGGGGGGGGATCAACGGTACTTTACGGTACCGTGCTCAAATACAATCATGTATTTTGCCACAGCAACACATAAATTACATTATACAACAGAAATTTTGCACCAACCCCCACAGCATGCTTTTCTTGCTGATAAAAGGGTAGGTCTTTGTCCTGGGTTTCCGTAGTGTAGCGGTTATCACGTGTGCTTCACACGCACAAGGTCCTCGGTTCGAACCCGAGCGGAAACATTTTTTTCTTCTATTTTGTTCTTGTTTTCTCAACGCCGGTCCCGTGCTAGCAGATTATCTTTGGGACGGAATATCATTGTGCCCCAAAGATCTTGTCCAGGCCCTGCTTCAAAATCTTGTAAAGCCATGCCAGGACCGTTCCGATGGTCATCATTATGAACTTATTGTCCGGCCACGCATGTCGTCCCGACTGCATCCCGCCAGCCATGCTACAGGCTGCAGTGCTGGATTTGGTGCACTAATAGATTGTGTGCGATGGTATAGAGCCAATCCTGTGCTGAAAACCTGGCAGGATATGATGGCGGCGGCGTGTGTGTAGTGAGAATGGGCAATTGCAGTCTCGGAACGGAGCAGGGTGGATGTCAGCAGTTCATAGGAATCAACCTTGTACAGAGCTATTTGAGCGTGTGTACTGTAAAAGCCATATATATAACGAAGTGCCAACTCTGACTAGTCAATTTTGGGAAATCGTTATATATGCGCCTCGTGATAATGGCTTTTACAGTAATAGACTAGTGCGTTGTGCATGTAGTGTATTCAATAACAACAGTGGCAGCTTGAGCCTGGAGAACGAGTTATCGTGAGCAAAGAATGAGCACAGCGAAAAAAGCTGACGCAGCGAACAATGGGGGAAATGAAAGAAAAGCAGGTGTAGAAAAAAGACTAGGGCTGAAAAATGTATACCGATAACTCGCATATCGATCGTTATGAGTGCAGTCCATAATCGTTACTGTTCAAAACGAGTGCGAACGATTTTGACAGGAGATTGTGCCATGGTTGAGAGAGTCGAATGCATTCATTGCGTCAGCAAGGAGGCCCCCTTTGTCTTGCTTTTGTCGAAATGGTGAAACAGGGCATATGCAATATTGAATATTCGCTTTGGTGCTCAATGTGCATGTGTGCTTGCTTACTTGCTTACTTGCTTGCTTGCGTGCTTGCCTGTGTGTGTGTCAACTTACACGTCGGCTTTGCAGGTGCTATCCTGGTTTTCTTGCCTGGCTATGAAGAGATAATGGCTGTGGAGGATCATATCCAGGCTGGTCCACACAAGCATCGGTATGTCATCCTGCAGGCATATTAATTTTGTTGTGTGTGTGTGTGTATGTGTGTGTGTGTGTGTGTGTGTGTGTGTGTGTGTGTGTGTGTGTGTGTGTGTGTGTGTGTGTGTGTGTGTGTGTGTGTGTGTGTGTGTGTGTGTGTGTGTGTGTGTGTGTGTGTGTGTGTGTGTGTGTGTGTGTGTGTGTGTGTGTGTGTGTGTGTGTGTGTGTGTGTGTGTGTGTGTGTGTGTGTGTGTGTGTGTGTGTGTGTGTGTGTGTGTGTGTGTGTGTGTGTGTGTGTGTGTGTGTGTGTGTGTGTGTGTGTGTGTGTGTGTGTGTGTGTGTGTGTGTGTGTGTGTGTGTGTGTGTGTGTGTGTGTGTGTGTGTGTGTGTGTGTGTGTGTGTGTGTGTGTGTGTGTGTGTGTGTGTGTGTGTGTGTGTGTGTGTGTGTGTGTGTGTGTGTGTGTGTGTGTGTGTGTGTGTGTGTGTGTGTGTGTGTGTGTGTGTGTGTGTGTGTGTGTGTGTGTGTGTGTGTGTGTGTGTGTGTGTGTGTGTGTGTGTGTGTGTGTGTGTGTGTGTGTGTGTGTGTGTGTGTGTGTGTGTGTGTGTGTGTGTGTGTGAGTGCCAGCTAGTTCGGTTGGTGGGTACACTTATGTCTGATTGTGTTGGATCTGTTGCCAACGGGCTCGGCTACTTGAAGGTGTAATGTTGTACCTGCCACCTTTGTTGGTTCCAGGGTTCATATACTTTCTGTTTGAAGTATACATACCTGTTAACCATGGACTGCTTCTGGCTAGATTAACTCTTGTGTAATCAACGGTGCTAGTGAAGCTTATATCAGATCCACTCTGATTTAGCCACCCACACTAGTTGCAAGTATTACCTTCACTGGGGGCAGGGGTAACTGCAGTTGGATCCCGGGACGGATACCCTGATGCCGTCAATCCTTTTTCTGCACCTTGTCCTCACCCACTTGCTGAGGTGTGGTGAGCCCATAAGTGGGATCATTTTCAAGTCCACCCAGAGTTTTGGGGATTTCAGGGGGTGTCGGTCGTTGGGCGGTTCAATAGCCAATTGAGTCATTTTTCCAAGATTCCTCTTGAGTCTCTCTCCCCTCTCCCGGGGAGACCCACGTGACCAGTTTTGGCAGTGAGCAACAAGTACAAGCAACAAGTACAAGTGTGTGTGTGTGTGTGTGTGTGTGTGTGTGTGTGTGTGTGTGTGTGTGTGTGTGTGTGTGTGTGTGTGTGTGTGTGTGTGTGTGTGTGTGTGTGTGTGTGTGTGTGTGTGTGTGTGTGTGTGTGTGTGTGTGTGTGTGTGTGTGTGTGTGTGTGTGTGTGTGTGTGTGTGTGTGTGTGTGTGTGTGTGTGTGTGTGTGTGTGTGTGTGTGTGTGTGTGTGTGTGTGTGTGTGTGTGTGTGTGTGTGTGTGTGTGTGTGTGTGTGTGTGTGTGTGTGTGTGTGTGTGTGTGTGTGTGTGTGTGTGTGTGTGTGTGTGTGTGTGTGTGTGTGTGTGTGTGTGTGTGTGTGTGTGTGTGTGTGTGTGTGTGTGTGTGTGTGTGTGTGTGTGTGTGTGTGTGTGTGTGTGTGTGGGTGGGTGGGTGGGTGGGTGGGTGGGTGGGTGGGTGGGTGGGTGGGTGGGTGGGTGGGTGGGTGGGTGGGTGGGTGGGTGGGTGGGTGGGTGGGTGGGTGGGTGGGTGGGTGGGTGGGTGGGTGGGTGGGTGGGTGGGTGGGTGGGTGGGTGGGTGGGTGGGTGGGTGGGTGGGTGGGTGGGTGGGTGGGTGGGTGGGTGGGTGGGTGGGTGGGTGGGTGGGTGGGTGGGTGGGTGGGTGGGTGGGTGGGTGGGTGGGTGGGTGGGTGGGTGGGTGGGTGGGTGGGTGGGTGGGTGGGTGGGTGGGTGGGTGGGTGGGTGGGTGGGTGGGTGGGTGGGTGGGTGGGTGGGTGGGTGGGTGGGTGGGTGGGTGGGTGGGTGGGTGGGTGGGTGGGTGGGTGGGTGGGTGGGTGGGTGGGTGGGTGGGTGGGTGGGTGGGTGGGTGGGTGGGTGGGTGGGTGGGTGGGTGGGTGGGTGGGTGGGTGGGTGGGTGGGTGGGTGGGTGGGTGGGTGGGTGGGTGGGTGGGTGGGTGGGTGGGTGGGTGGGTGGGTGGGTGGGTGGGTGGGTGGGTGGGTGGGTGGGTGGGTGGGTGGGTGGGTGGGTGGGTGGGTGGGTGGGTGGGTGGGTGGGTGGGTGGGTGGGTGGGTGGGTGGGTGGGTGGGTGGGTGGGTGGGTGGGTGGGTGGGTGGGTGGGTGGGTGGGTGGGTGGGTGGGTGGGTGGGTGGGTGGGTGGGTGGGTGGGTGGGTGGGTGGGTGGGTGGGTGGGTGGGTGGGTGGGTGGGTGGGTGGGTGTGTGTGTGTGTGTGTGTGTGTGTGTGTGTGTGTGTGTGTGCCAGCTAGTTCGGTTGGTGGGTGCACTTATGCCAGATAGTGTTGGGCCTGTTGCCAACGGGCTCGGCTGCTTGAAGGTGTATTGTTGGACCTACCACCTTTGTTGGTTTCAGGGTTCATATACTTTCTGTTTGAAGTATACATACCTGTTAACCATGGACTGCTTCTGGCTAGATTAACTCTTGTGTGATCAATGGTGCTAGTGAAGCTTATATCAGATCCACTCTGATTTAGCCACCCACACTAGTACCAAGTATTACCTTCACTGGGGGCAGGGGTACCTGCAGTTGGATCCCGGGACGGATACCCTGATGCCGTCAATCCTTTTTCTGCACCTTGTCCTCACCCACTTACTGAGGTGTGGTGAGCCCATAAGTGGGATCATTTCAAGTCCACCCTAGTTTGGGGATTTCAGGGGGTGTCGGCCGTTGGGTGGTTCAATGGCCAATTGAGTCATCTTTCCAAGATTCCTTTTGAGTCTCTCTCCCCTCTCCCGGGGAGACCCACGTGACCAGTTTTGGCAGTGAGTAAGTACAAGTGTGTGTGTGTGTGTGTGTGTGTGTGTGTGTGTGTGTGTGTGTGTGTGTGTGTGTGTGTGTGTGTGTGTGTGTACTTCCTCCGCGTCATCGAAATTGTCGCAGTTTGACTTTTGATATAAAACGGGGTATTTTCTCACCAGCACTCGTACAAGAGGCAGGGAATGAGATATAGGCGATAGTCATCAGTATAGGGTGACGGTAAAGTTCTATTTTCTGTTATTGGAAGCTGGAAATTTTGAACTAGACGCAATTTCTTCGCTGATGTTGCTGCGATGGTAATTTCGACTCGCGGAGATCAGTCAGGCGTTGCAGCCTGCACATTTCTCGTGCTTATGGCCATTCACTCAAGCCTCATCACTGTTTTACCTTAGCTGGGGTGAGAATGACTTCGTGGAACAAGTGGCAGCGCTTGGAGAAACATCGAGGGGTAAGCAAACTAAATGCCTGCAGTAGCGATAAAATTTGTCGCTCTGGCTGAGACACTCAGTACATGATTGTACCTGCAAGAGCCGTGTAGACTCCACACGTAGTGCTAGTGATGCACGCGTAGGTGCCGTACCATGGTATACCAGTGATGCTGAAAAACAGGGCGCGCTGGACGCGATAGTACACTTACCTGAGCTGCATGAGCTGTGACCAAACAGCTAAAATAAATGGGCATGCCACGGCTAAAAAAAGTTCATTAATTTTCAAGATCGAGGTGATTCCGCCGACGGTAATCAACCGACCTCGCAACGATCGTGTATTCTTACTAGGCTTCATTGGTGGTGAAGTAGAAATCATCCAGAGCTAGCAGACGACAAGCATAGCAGCTCTTGTCCTGTGGAGAAAGTCAAAGCGTTTGAGATGAGGCGCGACCAACTTTCAACCTTCCTTGAAATATTTCGGAACGATATTTTTGCGTCCATTGATATCAGCGACGACGAGGACTTCATCTCTGCATGAAAACTCTCAGTCCAACTGTCCTGGAACGTTACTCTAGTCTTCAGACTATCATACTGTGTAATAAGTTTTGAATGGCTTAGCTTATGGAGTTGTCAGTAACAAGTGACAAGTCACTAGTCAAACTGCGACAATTTCGATGACGCGGAGGAAGTATGTGGTGGTGGTGGGGGGCATGCATACTTGTATGTGGGGGGGGGGGGGGGTGCATGTGTCTGTCTGTCGGTCTGGGTTTATATGTGCACGTGTAATCACTTGTCCTGCCGGCGCGGTTGCATGTCAACTTGTCAAGCCAGAGTCTTAGCCAATAGATCTGACTGATCCCGAATTCTCCGTGTGTGTGGGCGTGTGTGTGTGTGCCTGCGTGTTCATGCGTGCACGTGTGTCCATGTGTGCATGTATGTCTGCCTGCGTGTTCATACGTGCCTGTGTGTGTCCATGTGTTAGGGTGCACATCATCAAACTCCACTCCATGCTACAGCCAGCAGAGCAGCGCAAGGTCAGTAGTGAGTGCCCGTTAGCAGCATCACCCAGTACTGGAAATATTACAGTCAGACCTCCCGTAACCGCACACATCCGCTTGCCACAAAAAATATCCGGATAGTCGAGGGAACCGGATAATCGAACACACATACTGTGTGTATGCATGGCATATGCTGTAAATCGGTAACCAGCGATGTTCTTCCGGATGGCGAGGGATCCGGATAAAAGAGGACTGGATAAGCGAGGTCTGACTGTACCCAGGTCCTCAGATTGTCACTGTCTATCCAAGGCAATAAGAAGAGTGTGTTAAATTCTGTTTAAAAAAAATACTTTGTACTATCGTTTCACTCTACGGTTCTGTTTCAATCCGTTGTATAATTCCCATTTGATGTGCTGTGGATGAGTTCTCTATACCCCTGGTAGTGCATACTACGTGTACATTCTGTTGTAATCGGCTATCGTGGGAGTTATGCTAGGGACTGAGAATGGCTCAGGCTGTGTTTGCTTTATTTGCGAGCTGAACTGACTGATCTGATCCTTTCTATTACGAGAAAGCAAGATATGTCATGAGTTCATGCGCCGAAGCGAATATCATGTTATGCCAAGCACTGAAGCAAAGAGTGTGTTGTCAGTAGTCCATGCACTGAAGCAAATATTGTGTTCTGGGTCCATGTACGGAAGGAAGGATTGTGTTCTGAGTGGTCCATGTACGGAAGGAAAGATTGTGTTGTGAGACCATGCACCAATCATGTCGTCATTGTTTTTCCTGTTTTTCTTGCTCTGCCACCCCGTGCTCAGGTGTTCCAAGGCACGCCGCGGGGCAAGCGAAAGCTGGTGAGTTCAGATCATTGCTATGTTGTATTCTGAGCCGCTCACTTGTCGCTCGTCGACCAAGCTGCAGAGAATATAGGGTGGCATGCTGCAGAGAACATCTTTGAGCATCGAAACCTTTCGCAGTTTAGCATTGTCCTGAGTAGTGCTGGTGCCCATGCCAGTTTCTTGCTCATGCGACTGCTTCTGCTGTGAGTTCTCTCCGTGTGTGCCATCGGTGTACATGTGCATGGGTTCTTCACATGTGGAATTGAAAGGAGGTGGCAAGAAACCGCTTTTTAGGCTGGTATTCCACACACTGCATGCTGCACACAGTTATACACCTCTACTCATGTTGAAATTGCTTTTCACGGGCAGTGAATCTTTTGCACCCACATGCACCATTACGTATGTAGCTCTGTTGTATACACGCATGCACACACCCTCACACAGATACACACACACACACACACACACACACACACACACACACACACACACACACATACACACACACACTAATTTCCAGATCTGTGTGTGCATGGTTGTGCACAGGTGCTGTCAACAAACATTGCCGAAACCAGCTTGACAATCAACGATGTTGTCTTTGTCATTGACAGCTGTAAAGTGAACGAGGTAAAGTCATGATGTCTATATTGAATATTCCTATGTGTGCCTGTCGGTCAGTCTCCGTATACTGTAAACTGCCCAATATTCGCGACTGATTAATGTTCACTATGTTCGCGAGAAGAGCATAACGCGAATATTAACCAGCGTGAAATCAAGCTTCAACAGTGGGTGTATGCAGGTGGCCCCGGTGCTTCGCGAACTTTTGCCTTCGCAAACTTGCTGGTCCTAAGAAATCGCGAAAATTTAGTGACGCGAATATTGGGCGATTTACGGTATCTCTTCATCACCTTGTTTGTGCGCCATGTGTCTGATGGATTGTCGCCGCCATGCTTTTGTACACATACATGTAAGATGAAATAGCTCGGTATAAAGTACCTTGGATATTGGCAGGGCTCTAGCCAAAGGACGGTAGGGGGCGCAGCGTCCCCTACCCTGATTGAGCCCCCTCCCCTGATTGAACCCCCTCCCCTGATTGAGCCCCTTCCCTGATTGAACCCCCTCCCCTGATTGAACCCCCTCCCCTGATTGAGCCCCCTCCCCTGATTGAGCCCCCTCCCCTGATTGAACCCCCTCCCCTGATTGAACTCCTCCCCTGATTGAGCCCCCTCCCCTGATTGAACCCCCTCCCCTGATTGAACCCCCTCCCCTGATTGAGCCTCCTCCCCTGATTGAACCCCCTGCCCTGATTGAGCCCCCTCTCCTGTTTGAACCCCCTCCCCTGATTGAGCCCCCTCCCCTGATTGAGCCCCCTCCCCTGATTGAGCCCCCTCCCCTGATTGAGCCCCCTCCCCTGATTGAACCCCCTCCCCTGATTGAACCCCCTCCCCTGATTGAGCCCCCTCCCCTGATTGAACCCCCTCCCCTGATTGAGCCTCCTCCCCTGATTGAACCCCCTCCCCTGATTGAGCCCCCTCCCCTGATTGAACCCCTCCCCTGATTGAACCCCCTCCCCTGATTGAACCCCCTCCCCTGATTGAGCCCCCTCCCCTGATTGAACCCCCTCCCCTGATTGAACCCCCTCCCCTGATTGAGCCCCCTCCCCTGATTGAACCCCCTCATGCCGTACTTGACTGTACGTACATGTACACTGGCATGTTTGGATGGGGTCAGATGGTCTGGGTGATGGTTATTTGGTGTGTCTCCCATATGGTCTAGTGGTTAGGATTCGGCGCTCTCACCGCCGCGGCCCGGGTTCGATTCCCGGTGTGGGAACATTTCTTTTTTCTTTCTCCACTGTTGACTTTGACGAGTGCATAACCCTCAAGAGTGTGTGCAACTCCTCCATACGGTCATGTCACGACAGAGTTTTTAGTCGACGTTATTTTATTAAGATAGAAGAAATCACATGGAAACGAGTTATGAAGCAACTATCCACGACTTTAACCCTTTACCATCCGACCAAATTTCCCCAGCAGTCCCAAATGCAATAATTCTCACCTTATTCTGAGAATATCTTCGGTTCTAATCAACCAATTTTCACAATCTTGGGCATTCTGGAAAGCTATCCACGAGCTGCATACATTGAGCTCAAACAGGGCACTACCGAGATCACATATCCAGCGCCAGGGAGCTTCAAATACACCCCATCGCTGTATATACGAGGAAATTCTCTCCTCGTCAGCCATTTCTCGCTCCTTCATCGTAAACATTCCAAATGTTTTGCTTGAGTTTCTTTTCATGCTGCCCACGCGCTCGAAGCATGCCAAGGTGACTCAGCATGTCAGGAGAGGGGAAAATCCCCGCTGAAGGTCAGTCACTCGGAAAGAAATTCGACTTTTGCCGTAGCTGAAATGTCGAGCACAATATCTTTGGAATGCGACATTGCAGCTCTTAACCAATTGATGCAATGGAAAGCTGAGCTCTTCGGCTTCTTCCTAGATACTTAGTTCTTTAAATTCCGACAAGAATCGATCGAGTTACGAATGTTTTAGTGTATGCATGTCCATCGATCTCTAGAGATCGATTCAAGTACGCACGGATGGTAAAGGGTTAACTAGATAATAAGCAGTCAGAAAGTGCGATAACAGGGCACCAAACTGTCGTTTCCATGTGATTTCTTCTATTTTAATTATATTTTTTTGGCTCAGTATCTGCGTTATTTTATTCTTGCTCAAAGTGTAAGCAACCGCTTTCGGCCTGGAGTCTAGTCTTGTTGTTGAAGTCATGTTGCTGGTGTGATGAGGTCGGCCAGAGAGTGCATGTGGAGGTGGTGGAATTGCTTCTTTTATCGTACAAAAGATGACTTGCTGTTTCTGCTTTCCGTGGAGGACGCTGATGGCCGTGTGGGTGTGTATAATATGGCTATGTGTTGAGTGTGAGCAGTGCAGCGGTGCAGCGTGCGTACGCAATACGCATGCGTATAGTGCGGCTGTGAGGGTGAGAGGGCGTGCAGGGAGAGAGAGAGAGAGAGAGAGAAAAAGGAGAGAGCTGGAGTGATTTAGGACGTTTGCATCGGGTGTAAACACGTCGCACACATTTCCTTGTGCTAGATTGTACCGCATCGAATGGGAGCTGGCTATTTAGCGTGTCTCCCACTGTTTGAGGGTTTTGCAGACTGATCAATGTTAGGTCGTTGAAACAATCAGTTGCATGACATGTTTAGCTTGCTCATATGTGTGTGTGTGTGTGTATGTGTGTGTGTGTGTGTGTGTGTGTGTGTGTGTGTGTGTGTGTGTGTGTGTGTGTGTGTGTGTGTGTGTGTGTGTGTGTGTGTGTGTGTGTGTTTGTGTGTAGAAATCTTATGACTCCAGTGCAGGAGTGTCTACATTACAGTTGCGCTGGGTGTCTCAAGCTAGTGCTGTGCAGCGGAGAGGAAGGTAAGACATTATGTGTAGAACAACTCACACACACACACACACACCACACACGCACACCGCACACACACACACACACACACACACACACACACACACACACACACACACACACACACACACACACACACACACACACACACACACACACACACACACACACACACACACACACACACACACACACACACACACACACACACACACACACACACACACACACACACACACACACACACACACACACACACACACACACACACACACACACACACACACACACACACACACACACACACACACACACACACACACACACACACACACACACACACACACACACACACACACACACACACACACACACACACACACACACACACACACACACACACACACACACACACACACACACACACACACACACACACACACACACACACACACACACACACACACACACACACACACACACACACACACACACACACACACACACACACACACACACACACACACACACACACACACACACACACACACACACACACACACACACACACACACACACACACACACACACACACACACACACACACACACACACACACACACACACACACACACACACACACACACACACACACACACACACACACACACACACACACACACACACACACACACACACACACACACACACACAGAAGCTGTATTGCTTTGACTCTGTGTTCACGCAGAAGCCATCAGTAGGGATCTCAGCGTGTGAACTGCGCAGCCAGTCTGCGCAGGTGAGATTTTCGATCCCAAACGCGTCCAGTGCAGAAATCGTGGAAAAGAACATTTTTTTCGAAATAAATCAAATTGAAGAAGACAGTAGAAATGGCTGAATATTGCGTCGAGGAAAGCACGTTCTACGGCCATCTCCAAGCTACCTATCTCCCAGACACTCTCTCAGAGGAACTATGGAGGGTCAAAGAGCACAATCTTTCACTCTTGGACGCAGCGTGAACACCTCTTCTACTGAGCGCGATGTCTTCTCTCCGAGTGATAATGGCGGCGATGTTCGCGATGGCTGATGCACTGAAAATCGAAGTTAGCACAATCTAAGGGAGCATCTCATAAGTTCGCATTTTGTTTCTAAACGTAACGCATTTCGAAACGGGGGTAGGGGGGTAGCGCCCATTTCGGATAGAAAAATGACAGTTCGCACATTTTCTGGATGTGTACAATACAGTGCTGTGCATGTGCTAGACCGCTTCAGACAGCAGGGTATGGGTGTGTTTTAGGTGTAGATCTAACCCTTGCACTACAATACAGGCATGCAGGCTACTCAGAGGTGTCAAATGTCACACCAGCCTGATCAAACCGTGTACCTTGTACCTGCCACCTGACCAGCTTTGACAGTACAGTCTTTGTGGAGGAACTCTGTTTATGTGTGTGTACATGTCATTGATTGAACAGACTAACTATTACTTACTTACTCAGTAGATGTGGTAGTACTACTGTATGTCATTCACTTCCACACTAGCGTCCATGTCCATGTGCATGAATATTGTACATGATTGCACATACCATGGCATGGATATGTACAGTACAGTAGATGTACACTGAAAATGTGCGATAAGACTTTCAAATAGTGGGGGGAGGTAGGGGGGTAAAGTCTATTCGAAATGCGTTACGTTTACAAAAAAAGTGCGAACTTATGAGATGCTCCCTAACCGGAGAAAACGTCTGAATTTTTGACTGAATCCTCTCTGAAGTGGGTTCTTGCCGCATGGAAAATTATAGGAAAATCGACCGGGGCAATATCGCCTTGGCCACGCTGTCCTTCGGCGGGAATTACAAAGTATGTTCGAACGACGATGAAGATGACGATTCCGCTAGTGTCCACCGCGTCCCCTAGTGTCGAAAATCGACCGTCGCCATTTTTCTGCTATGTCCGCGAGCTGCACTCAAAACTCGATGACGCAATGTATGCGCAAACACCCTGCGCACTGCACGCGCTGAGATCCCTACCATCAGGCAGCTTAAAACGAGATAGCTTGGAAGCTCAGGGCCCTACGCTATGCTTTTTTGCCTTGATGACCTAGACAAAAAAAGCATAGGGATGTTATAAATTCTTATAAGTTTCTACTTTTTGTTTGAGACATAACCTGGGATTCGAACCCGCACTATCGACCTGCATGCATCCCCCGATACACTTCGCATACATACTAATTCTTCCAAGTTGCTTCACGTTATGATCTTGTATTTGAAAGGCCTATTTGAATATGCATTGTGGTCAGCCGTCTTTGAATGTACGGTACGGTACGGGATAGGTACGGGATAGGTACGGGACAGGTACGGGACAGGTACGGGATAGGTACGGTCGAGGGTAATACGACACCGTCTACCGCCTTGATGACGGCAAAAAAAGAAAAGGGATGTTATAATTTTTTCAATTCTCCTATTTTTTAAGGCATTACCTGGGATTAGAACCCGCACTATCGCCCCACATGCATTCCCCCATACACTTCGCATTCATACTCATTCTTCCAAGTTGCTTCACGTTATGATCTTGCGTTTGAAAGCCCTATTTGAATATTGCGGCCAGCTGTATGTGGCCAACTGTGTTTGATGGTACGGTACGGTACGGGACAGGCACGGGATAGCGCCAGGCGTGACACAAACACACAAACAAACAAACACACACCAAATTAAAGCTGTGTGGACCCTGGCTAGCGCCAGACGTTACTGAAGTAACGTCTTCTGCATAGCTACGGGAATAAATAACAACTTGTTATGTATGCTGAGCATTTCGAAGTACTCTTCACTGGGTATCCTTGTAGGATGTTGGTGGCCTGGCATGTGTGAAACTTCCTGAGCTGCTTGTGCTTCTTAACACACTCGTATAGCTAGTGGTATTGTGTGTGTGTGTGTGGGGGGGGGGGGGTGCGTGCGCGCACGTGTGTGTGTGTGTGTGTGTGTGTGTGTGTGTGTGTGTGTTTGTCCGTTTGTCCGTTTGTGTGCAGGGTCAGTGTGTGCTTGCGTGCATGCGTGTGCATTCATATGTTTGTGTTTGTCTGAACACACGTGTAAAGTTGTGTGCATCTCTTGAGCTTAGCGGGTTATTTGCATCGCCATGTCATGTTGTTATTTGTTGCACAGAGCTGGTCGCTGCCAATCTGGTATCTGCTACCATCTAATCAGTCAGCAACGGTTTACACGCCTGGCGCTGCATCAGCAACCTGAACTCTTGCGTATTCCTCTGCAGGTAGGTACGGCTGGCTGGGCATGGTGTAACTTGTAAGCGCATGTTGTGAAGTGAGCTCTGCCACATGCGCGTTTGCATGCACTGCACTGATGCTGAAGACTAAAGTAAGGTGCTCACTACTGAACTCTACTCTCTCTCTCTCTCCCCCCCCCCCCCCCCATCCACTTGCTTTGCTGTTCTACGGCTTGTAAAGGTACCGACGATGTTTTAAACGTTTTACGGAGCTGGTCCGGCGGAACCTAACTGCTTTGCTTGCGAATTTTGCAATACAGTGCTACACCCTGGTCATTTGTTATTTCCCAGAAGACCGAACAGTAGCCGCTCTTGATTGACACTAGGTGTTCTCTTTGCGGTGTGTTTGTGAATGTGTGTTTAAGGTGACACCCGTGATTCCGTGTGTGTGTGTGTGTCACTGTGTCACTGTGTGTGCGCGCGTGTGTGTGTGTGTGTATGCATCATTGCATGTGTCTGTGCATGTGTGTACATGTGTGTACATGTGCCTACGTTGGCGCTTGTCCCCCCCCCCCCCCCTGCTGCAGGAGTTGTGCCTGCACACCAAGCTGCTCACCGCACCGTCAGTGTCGATTGCCGACTTTCTCGGCCAGGCTCCTGACCCACCGCCAGTGCTGGTGCTGAACCGGGCCATTCGTAGACTGCAGCATATTGGTGCTCTGGACGACGAGGAGAATTTGACTACTCTCGGTAATAATTGGGTTTTTGTTTTCCTTTTAGAAACACGTTCTTTGGATTGCCATGAGCAATTCCGAGCCGAAATGCCTTCATTTTGGATGTGTGTGCAGATGTTCTCATGTCGATACAGTTTGCCAAAGCGGTTGTAGAAATGTCTCGAAGCAATCTGCTGAATACAACTCTTTTGTTGTGAGACTGGCAGTGTTTGTAGGGATATGGTTGTCCTTTGTGTGCTTTTGCCTTGTGAAACATGCTCCATGCACCTGATCTGACAAACTGCAGCTAGTTCATGTGTGTCTCCCATATGGTCTAGTGGTTAGGATTCGGCGCTCTCACCGCCGCGGCCCGGGTTCGATTCCCGGTGTGGGAACATTTCTTTTTTTTCCCTCATAGAACCAACTTTTTATCTGTTCAAGGATCCCCCCAGGCTACAAGCCTATCTAGCGGGTCTCCATTTTCCGTTTGGTCCGATGTTCTCTTAGGCTGTGTTTACATGAGGCGTTTCAACCCGGGTCAGATTTCAACCCGCCATGTGCACAAAATGAATGGCGCGTTTACATGACGCATTGCGCTTGACCCGGGTTGAAATTTCGCCCCGGGTTGATTTCAACCCTCCCCCCAAGGGGAGGGTTGAAATCAACCCGGGTCAAGAAAATCGTACAAACGTACTTCTGTGCGTATCTCGCGCCAGGTTTGAACGGCACTGCAGATGCAAATTTCGCGCGAACGGATTCACGTGACCATACAGGACTGTAGAAGTGGACTTTTGGCGGCATATCAGTATTTGACCCGGGTCAACTGTCTTCATGTAAACGCTCACCTCTTTTGTCTATCGTACAGACTTTCAACCCGGGCTGAACTCGACCCGGGTTGAAAATTCTCATGTAAACACAGCCAAAGACCTGATCTGTCCGAATGAAATCTTTTTCTGCCTAATGTACATGTATGTTGATCTTGCTCAGGTCGACATTTATCAGTGCTGTCAGTCGAGCCCAGGCTTGGTAAAATGGTGCTCTATTCGGTGCTTTTCTGCTGTTTGGAGCCGGTGGTGATTATCGCTTGTGCGCTGGCATATCGTGATCCATGTAAGTGGCACGGTCTGTGTATCGTTACTGGTTTAATGTGGGTCTGTGTGTGTGTGTGTGTGTCCGTGTGTCCGCGGGTGGGTCCGTGGGTCTCTGTCTGCGTGTATGTCCGTGTGTCAGTATGCGTGCATGCGTATGTGTTTATGTCCGGTTAACGTCTACACTCATATCTCCTTGGCATCCGTCTCTACTAGCCAACCATCTCTCCTGGCGTGCATTTACATGTAGTCACTTGCTAATGCCACGCATTGCAGTCGTTGATTGATATGAAATAACGTTTAAGACCGTGCAAGAGACCGTCCAGTGTGGGCACCATGTCCAAGCCAGTCACACACACTGGAATACAGCGGACTGTAACTTTCACAAATTTCCGGTGTACTTTTGTTTTCGGTACTTTCGGTGTGTCTGTTTCATACCTAAAATTTCAATACACCAAATAAACACTAACACACATAGCCCAATAGGGAAATGCTTCTCTGTACCTAAAATTTCTGTTCACCTAACCTGGCATTTTGCCCTCATACCGAAAATATTGAGCACCTAAAATTTCTGAAATTACCATGCTAGTCAGATGCTGGATTGTCAGACACACTCCACTACACCCGGCTGATTTGGGCCGAATTGAGGCCGAAAAACCCACTTTAAACTTGAAAAACCTGGGTGTGGGATCTGCTTCACCATACAATTTACCATGGTGTACCTGTCCTGAGTTTGTAAAACCTGGCTGAATTTCTAATTCCCTGTCTTTGGACTCTTCTGGCCTCATGTGTGGCAAGGGGTAATTGCGCGGATCACATAATGCAGGATGTACTGTTGTTTTCACGATACAGTCAGACCTCTCTTAACCGCACACATACGTTTTCCACAAAAATATCCAGATAGGCGAGGGAACCGGATAATCGAACACACCTACTGTATGTATTGTATGCATGACATAATATGCTGTAAATCGGCAAGCAACGATTTTCTTCCGGATGGCGAGGGATCCGGATAAAAGAGGACCGGATATGCGAGGTCTGACTGTATCCAGAACTATACTTTCAACTACATGACATGTACTAGTACATGGGAGACACCAACAAGTTAAGGTGCCAGTTTCCAATGACTGGACTGTAGTTATTGTTTAGGCGTGCCCTCGGCTTATTCCTAGTGCTGATGCATTCTTCTTCTCTTCTGGTCGTCTGTTGTGTTCAGTTGTGCTACCGTTGCGTCGTCAGAAGAGTGCCAGTGAGGCAAGGAGACATCAGTTTTCCGCCGGTAGCCTTAGTGATCATATAACAGTCTATCATGCTTACCAGGTAGGAAAGACATGCTCTGTGTCCTGTGTTTCATCAGCCTCTCTGTATCTCTGTCTCTCGCTCTAGCTCTCTGTCTCTGTCGCTTTGTATCTGTCTCTCTCTCTCTGTCTCCGTGTCTCTGTCTGTCCGTCTCTGTCTGTCTGGCTCTGTCTGTCTGTCTCTGTCTCCCTCTCCTTCTCCCTCTCCCTCCCTCCCTCCCTCCCTGCGTGTGTGTTCTCATGTGTGCGTACATGCATATGTACATGTACGCGCACCGATCACTTGCACGTCTCAAGTCCATTATTTCATTTCCTTTTCTCTTCGCAGGAATGGCTGAAGCGTGGGCCGGGCACTCCGGCAGCGTACAGATTCTGCAGTGAGAACTTCCTCTCCCATCCTGTACTACAAACCATCCATGGAATGAGGTACAGTGTTACGTTCAGTGCGATGTTTTGCGGAGATGAGAAGCTTATTTTGGCCAGAGACATTAGTTCTTTTTTGTTTTTTGTTTTGTTTTAAAATATAGTGTGGGTGTAACCGTTAGACGAAGGGTATACCGTTCTTTGTTGCCATGTGAAATAGCGTGTGCTCATCTTCGCAGCGCTCTCCTTCCCCACAATCTTTACTCATTGTTTAGGGTTTCTCTTTTGGTTTCTCCGTGTTTCTTTTCCAGTCGTCAGCTGCATGGGCAGCTAGTGTCCGCTGGATTTGTCAATAAGTTCAATGAGTCTTGGAAGGACTCTAACTCGCGCAAGGTCGCTGTTGTGAAGGTGAGGGTCATAGGGTGTGCATGTGAGTGTGGTGGGTGTCTGTCACGGCGGAATTCCTGGATTAACTTCAAAGTTGACTCAAAGTTCTACGGTAAAACTCCCTTGGCCAGACTCCCCAGATCCGGGCACTCCCGTCTACCGAGCACCTTTTCTGGGGCTTTTTCTCTCAGTCAGCAATGGCTTTTTTCCAAAGCCAGCAGTAGAAGTTGGTAGAGGTACGGGATTTCCAGCAAGATCAAGGAGTTGTACACAACTCCATAGAGAAGAAAAAACATTTCGCATGCATATCACGAAAACTACTAAATCCGGTAGGACAGCGTTTGTGCACTTACCTCTACCTTCTACCTCTATCGGTAGAATGACTCTACTCTACTCTACCGGGTAGCTAAAAACAAACGCAGCCCCAATGTCCAGTCCCTTTTTTGCTGGGTGTATGCAACAAGTACATGGTTGTACTAGTACAAAACTGATCTGCTCTGTGCATGTGAGGTGACGAGGTGGCCGAGTGGTTAAGGCGATGGACTGCTAATCCATTGGGCTCTGCCCGCGTGGGTTCGAATCCCATCTTCGTCGTGTCCTGTTTTTTTTGTACCTTTTCTACTTTTTTCCACAATGCATGAGATGGTTTTTCTTGGCTTTGTCCAAGTGTTTTGTCCTGGTTCGAGCCCTGGTGGCCACAGTCAACTTTTTCTTCAGACTTTTCCCGTTTGCAACTTTCCCTCCAAATAATGAATGTTTTATGTACTGGGGCTCTCCGCGTGCTAGTTTGTACGTGAAGTGTGTGGGTTGCAGTGAGGGCTGCGTCCTACCACTAGTACCAGTGTGGATTCACAGGAAATGTGAGTTTCGAAGTCTGAAGAAAATGTTGAACGGTCTCTGCTGGGATGACGGTACCAGTGTGGATTCACAGGAAATGTGAGTTTCGAAGTCTGAAGAAAATGTTGAACGGTCTCTGCTGGGATGACGGCTACACCATAGCTCAGTGGTTAGAGCATCGCTGGCCTCAAGCCAAGGTCCCTGGTTTGAGTACTGGTGGTGACAGTAATTTTTTTTTCAGCCTTTTCCCGTTTGTCTCTTTCCCTCAAGCTATTGGATATGTTTTGTCTTTGTGTTTGGGCTTTTCTACACCCTTCGCAGGCAGTACTCTGTGCTGGACTGTACCCGTCCGTTGCTCGTAGAAACCCGGTCACACATCGTCTGATGACGCCGCGCGAGAACAAGATCTACATTCACGCATCGTCATCGCTGTCACAGTCGCCGATCTTTGCGCCCTTGGCCTCGGGTGGTGGTGGCTCCGACGCGAAGAACGCCAGAAAGGCTGCCTGCGCGGACTCCTGGGTGGTGTACGAGGAACTCGCCAGGTGAGTGATGTGCAGTGTGTAGCGAGAAGGAGCCACAGGAGTATGTGTGTGTGTGTGTGTGTGTGTGTTTGTGTGTGTGATCCCCGGTAGCCTAATCGGTAGAGCACTGTCCCAGAAAGACAGGGGTGGTGGGTTCGAATCCCGCCCGTGGATCATTCTTCTGCAACAAGACTTAAGCTGTGTTCACAACTGGCGCGTGGACGCGGTACGCTTGCGGTTCATGCGCCCCCAAACGCGCGCTCAGCCTTTCACAAAAAACAGCAATCCGAGTCGTATTTAGCGCGTGCGACACCTTCGAGTACTAATTTTTTGACCCCGCCAGTCAAAGTGACTGGCATATACGCTGATACGCGCCTGATACGCGCTGAAAATTCCAACATGTTGGAAGTTCCATTTTGGCGCGTTTCCGTACGCATGGCGCCCCAAAAGCCAGCAAAAATACGCACAAACGCTTGGTTTCACGCGTACACGCGCCAGTTGTGAACACAGCTTTAGTGTTGCCTGTGAAATTTTAAAAGCACCTTCAAGCACCTTCAAGCACCTTCCCAGTCTTCTCTGCTGGACTGTGCACTTCAGTATAAAAATTTAAAAAATGCCGCCAGTTCCGTAGTTGGTTGTTGCTGCCAGATTATTTATACTTGTTTGCCATCTTGACCAATGTTCCTGTGTTCTCTCGTAAGCAGCCGAAATAGCTCAGTTGGGAGAGCGTTAGACTGAAGATCTAAAGGTCCCTGGTTCAATCCCGGGTTTCGGCATTTCTTTTTCTTTCTTTTTTTGTGCTTGAGTTGTGCGGAGATGATTTATTCCAGGGTAGAGCGGGGGGAGGGGGGGGGGGGGGAGGGTTGTATGACTTGTATCAATGCCGGACGGACGGGAGGTTTAGTCAGTCACCTTCCTTTCATTATTGTTTCTCGTGCTACGAGTCACCACACCTGGCGTTGTGAGCTGGATGGACCAGCTGTGTGTGAGATGGGAACTTGTGGTAGAGTCTGTAGATCTTTAACTTTCATCAGCCGAAATAGCTCAGTTGGGAGAGCGTTAGACTGAAGATCTAAAGGTCCCTGGTTCAATCCCGGGTTTCGGCATTTCTTTTTTCTTTCTTTTTTTATGATCGAGTTGTGCGGCTGTTTGCTCGAAGAGCCCCGGTACTCGTTGATGAGTGCAAGTCTGGGTGAAAGTTTTGTTGACGTGTTTTGTTAGGGCATGTTCGATTAGTAGGATCTACGAATTTGGATCCGATCAACCGTACTCCGTGAGCAGGGTTGACTTGTATCAATGCCGGACGGACGGGAGGTTTAGTCTCACGTAACGGATACGGGAACGTGGGGGATACACTTAAAGTTCATGCAATGGACCCACGTTCGCAATGTTGTTTTTAGTCCCACGGAACAAACAAAAGTATGAAAGGAAAGGCCCAAACTTGGCCAAAGACGAAGCTTCGAAGACCATCGAATGTTTTGCTTTCGCCCTTCGAAAACTTCTTCAACTGAGCACCCTGTAGTAAGTAAAATAAAGTAACAACAACAACCCTCACAGCTTGCACAATGCGCTCCATTCTGATTTTCACTCACGGTCTGGCGGAACGTGGGTGAGCCTCCATGCACTGTATGTCATGAATCAGAAAACGGCTGCTGTCCGTGGGTCACTGAGTATCACGTGGTACACACACGTAAAGTACACACGGATTACGTGGGACTAAACCTCGCTACTATGTGTCGTCCCCACCCGTGATCATTTGGTCCTGTGTAATTTGCGATCCCCGCCAGCCTGTCGACTCACCCACACATACACCATACAGGCCTCTGGACCTTGGCTTTGCCAGACGTACACTGTACTAACATTACAGGAAAGGCTTGCAAGTGTGGACCGAAGTCACAGCAGAGATAAAAATACGAATGTATACTATTGCTCTTGGAAAATGGAACCAATATTCGTATTGAGAGTTCGGCTGCAACGCGCGTTGGCCATTTCCCATGACAAAGCAGTCCTGGAAAGTCGAGTTTGCACATGACCTAGCCTGGTTGTTCATTCTAGCTGATAAAGGACTAAGCGAGTAGTCACCTTCCTTTCATTATTGTTTCTCGTGCTACGAGTCACCACACCTGGCGTTGTGAGCTGGATGGACCAGCTGTGTGTGAGATGGGAACTTGTGGTAGAGTCTGTAGATCTTTAATTTTCATCAGCCGAAATAGCTCAGTTGGGAGAGCGTTAGACTGAAGATCTAAAGGTCCCTGGTTCAATCCCGGGTTTCGGCATTTCTTTTTTCTTTCTTTTTTATGATTGAGTTGTGCGTGTGTTTGTTCGAAGAGCCCCGGTACTCGTTGATTAGTGCAAGTCTGGGTGAAAGTTTTGTTGACGTGTTTTGTTTGGGCATGTTCGATTGGTAGGATCTGGATCTAGATCAATCGGATCCACTCGATGTGTGCACGTTATTTTCAACGAATCTGGATACAGATCCGACGAATTTGGATCCAATCAACCCTACTCCGTGAGCAGGGCTGACCGGATCCAGATTCTTTTTTTTGCCAAATGTGAGTGATACGTGCACAAATGGCGGGAATAAAAGCGATGATGCGGATATCATTGCTTTCTCTCATGGAAACCCTCAAAAATCACTAAAATTCCAGTTTCGATCAAGGGCAGCGTTGGATTGGACCTTGGTGGATCCACTCAATCGATCTGGATCCGGATCCAACCAATCAAACATGCCCTTAGATGTACTGCTAATATGAGAGCAATTTCATTTGTATTTCAACCCAAGACCTTGTCTTTTCGTTTGAATATCAAGAGAGAATGGAGTTTAATGCCACTTCACTTTGTTGGCCATTGTTCGTGCACTTAAAACGAGTATAATGGGGGGGGGGGGGGGGGTGTAAAATGCCAGACATGGTGCGCCACCATAAAATTGTGACGTCGCCACCCGTGATCATTTGATCGTGTGTTAGTTTTTATTTGCAAACACCTACAGCCTGTCCGCTCACCCACACATACGCCATACAGGCCGCTGGACCTTGGCTTTGCCAGACGTACACTGTACTAACATTATAGGAAAAGCTTGCAAGTGTGGACAGAAGTCACAGCAGAGATAAAAATACGAATGTATACTATTGCTTTTGGAAAATGGAACCAATATTCATCTCGAGAGTTCGGCTGCAACGTGTGTTGGCCATTTTTCATGACATAGCAGTCCTGGAAAGTCGAGTTCTTCACGTGAAGTAGCCTGATGGTTCATTCTAGCTGATAACGGACTAAGCGAGTAGTCACCTTCCTTTTATTATTGTTTCTCGTGCTACGAGTCACCAAACCTGGCGTTGTGAGCTGGATGGACCAGCTGTGTGTGAGATGGCAGCTTGTGCTAGAGTCTGTAAGTCATTAATCCTCATCAGCCGAAATAGCTCAGTTGGGAGAGCGTTAGACTGAAGATCTAAAGGTCCCTGGTTCAATCCCGGGTTTCGGCATTTCTTTTTTTCTTTTTCTGTGATTGAGCTGTGCGGGTGTTTGTTCGAAGAGCCCCGGTGCTCGTTGATGAGTGCAAGTCCGGGTGAAAGTTTTGTCGACGTGTTTTGTTTGGGCATGTTCGATTGGTAGGATCTGGATCTAGATCAATCGGATCCACTCGATATGTGCACGTTCGTTTCAACGAATCTGGATCCAGATCCAACGAATTTGGATCCGATCCACAGGATTATTCTTTGCCTAAAATCGTACTCTGTATGTGATACGTGCACGAATGGCGGGAATAAAAGCGATGATCGGATATCGTTGCTTTCTCTCATGGAAAGTTTTTGGAAATCCTAAAAATCACTAAAATTCCAGATTCGCATCTTTGAGCCACACAAGTTGTGTGGAATGTTGCTTTGCGTCCTTGAATCGTGGTTTGACCGTATTGTCCAATGCCAGTATCGTCATCCACATGCATGTACTTCCGCCAAAGTCCTTCACAGCTGAGACGTTCAGCTCGTGCTTGTCTTGGTTGCGCTCACCTTCCCCTCCTATGTTATCATAATTATAACTTAAAAGTTAGAACCTTCCAAGGTGGAAGGCTGTTGGAGTGCGCATCCAAGATGTGCTAGAGCTGATAGCCAGTTAGTTGTAGAACGTCAGTACCGTCGGTCAGTGCCGTGCAATGTTATTGCATGAGCTGATTGTTTAGTAACGGGTGGTGTTAGTGGACATTATCGCGTAACTTGTAGTTCCTTGGTTCTTTTCTTTTTCTATACGAGAGATTAAAATACGAATGTGTTTGTCTTTGGAATATGGAGCCAATATACGTATTGAAAGTTCAACTTCAACGTGCGTTGGCCATTTTCATGACATAGCCATCCTGGAAAGTCGAGTTTGCACATGACCTAGCCTCATTGTTCATTCTAGCTGATAAAGGACTAAGCGAGTAGTCACCTTCCTTTCATTATTGTTTCTCGTGCTACGAGTCACTAAACCTGGCGTTTTGAGCTGGACGGACCAGCTGTGTGTGGGATGGCAGCTTGTGGTAGGATCTGTAGATCGTTAATTTTCATCAGCCGAAATAGCTCAGTTGGGAGAGCGTTAGACTGAAGATCTAAAGGTCCCTGGTTCAATCCCGGGTTTCGGCATTTCTTTTTTTCTTTTTTGATCTCATGTGTGGCGTAGTCAAGTCGGTGCTGCTGCTTCATGATACTGTTGATTTGGAAGTTCTACAGTCCATTTCAAAACTATAGACGCGTACCTAGGCAAAAAACCGTTATGCCAGCATCTATACCACATAAAATCTGTGATCACTTTGTGCATAAATTTTTCCAAATTGGGCGTCTGTTATCCAATCCTTTAGAAACTATATGAGAGTAATTGTGGAGCGATCCTGAGCAATATTCCGAAAACTATTCTCAAAAAGTTCCAGCCAAATTTGAAATATTTCAAAAACCCTACGCGTCTATAGTTTTGAAATGCACTGTAGTTGCGCTCGGTGGGATCCGACCCGAAGTGCAAAACTGACGCCCTAGATCAGTTCTGATTGCGTCGTT